AATAACAATTACATATAGATAATTATAGAGTAATATAGAGTTGCTGCACCCCCTTAGGAAAAGATTGAAAGGCAAGAAGAGCACACATCAACCACAAGTTCGACAGACAATAAGGATCAGGAACTTATACACAAGAGTCACAAGTCCCTCAAGCCCGCATAAAACGACAACAGGGTCACGAGTTGGTTGGTCTTCAAGCAGGTGAACTTCACAATTATCCTCAGGGTGCCGGCAACCTCCAGCCACCATACTTAAATGTTCCACTTCATGTTGCCTTTACTACCTTCTGAAAGCCATTGAAACCGGAAACCGTCCACTTGACAAGTCAGGATATATAATATGAATAATAATAATATGTTAAACAGCCTTTGCTGGCATTTTTGTCGATCAACTGAGGACCGCGGGCCTCATGGGTTCCTTGAAATGAACTAGCATGGTTTTGAGGCCTTAATGACTTTGCGCTGTCTACGTGTTTTTTCTCTATGTTTCAATCATTGGCGCATGATCTGCGTTGCTTCAGGTTGCTCCTTGTGCTATGTTTGGAGGAATCTGCAGCCATTGACCATTCCTTCACCATTCCTTCGGGGAGCGGCAGTTTTCCCCACATCCCGAAAGAACATGGGAAAACGATGGAAAATAGATTGGGAGATATTGGATGCGCTCAGTTTAGACAATCAATTATGAAATCCAAGAATTGGCGCCTGGTAGAGCCTGGTACTTAGAGGAAGAGATCATTTAGATTCATTTAGTCCAATACACCGAAAGAGAGAGAGAGAGAGGGGGGCAAACAGAGAGTTTTGCAAGTGTTTCACTCTTGCATTTACCACCATGTGACATGTGGTTTACATCCTACTACTGCTGATGGAAGAATTGTTGATGCCCCCTTCCACACTTATAGTATTTTCAGCCAACACGTTCACATCCCCGAATCCTGCTGTAACTATGTTTGAGGAAAACGTTCAACCAAAGGTCCTTGAATTTCTGGGAGGGGATGTCATTCCAGCCCCCTGTCAGACACATATGAACCTGACTTCACTTCTTTAGTCTTCGGGTCCTTCACAAGAACTGCGACTGGGTCCGTTCCGTTCGGCCGATCCCGTTGGGGAATTTGATCCGGAGGATCTTAGCCGGGCACGCCTTGCTGAGCGTTTGGAAGCCTGGCAAGACTGCTGAAGGAAGCGCCGCTCCGACGGTGTCCGTCGTGAAGGAGGCGCTGAAGCGTCGCGGTCGGGGGACCCAAGCATACCAGTCAGTTGGTGGTGCTTCAAGCCATACATGATGGGAGACATGTTAATACCTGGGGCAATGGCCAGCGGCAGAAGCTGCGGGACCGGGGATGTGAGTAAGGTGTCGAATTCGTATGATGAAAATGGTTCAGATTTGTCAAATGTTTTATTTCCCTGTACTTATCCATATAGATAGCCCTGGAGATTCCCGTAGCAAAGAAGCAAAGCCCCAGCACTGAAATAATCAGAAAGTACCATGCATGAGCATTCAACAACTAGTTTTACATCTTCATGATGAAATGGATCCTCGGTTTAATCAACATGTCCTACTAGCACTTGGAGTGACACGCGATAATCCGATAGGTGCACTGCCCATGGTCCGGTGCTTCCTCCAGCTCCCCCCCTTTGCGCTGCGGGAGGTCGCTCTGACCGCCTGAGGTGTCGCCCTGACCGCTGTGAAGCCTCCGGGACCTCCCAAGCAGTTCGACCAAAAGTTCGTGGAGATGCGAGACAAGCAGTGGCAGGTGCCTTGCCTGGGGCCTTGCCCATAGCCGATAGGGGTTGCCACCCACCATGGACCAAGCTCGCGGCTAGCTGTACAGTTCCATTAAGGGATCCAAAGGGTAGGTTGGTGAGCGAGTTAGTGACCGACCAAAATTTCAGGACTTGCTTGCTTAGAGGTCCCAACTGATGAAAGAGGTATATTTGCAACATGTTGCGCCACATGTTTCAATGTTATGTGGGATCGCCACACCGGGTCGCCCCAATGTGTTTGCTTCGGGCTTCAGGTAAGCTTTTGATAAAATCTAGTCAAGTCGCCAACACCAGTACCAGTGTAGCCACGCCTTTTGTCCAAACTACCTCCAAAAGGATGAGAACAGCAAACCCATTAGCCAGCAAAACATTGGGAGTTTACTCTACCAGCTCCAGGGTTTCGATGCGCCTCAATGCCTTTCGATGCGTAGTTTCACGTGCCAGGCATTTTGCCAACACCTTCAGATGCAAGGAAGGGTTCCAGCGGGTCCTGGGGCCAATGAAGAGGAAAAGCGCCGACAAATGATCGAATGGCGTCAGTTCGTCGGAGGTGAGTGAGTGAAGTGGCCCAAGCGTGCGGCCTGCCAAAACGTGCTTGGAAGCCGAGGAGTGGCAGGTCTCAAGGTGTGAGGGCTAGAGTTGGTACCAGCTCGGTCAAATCTATCGCCAGCTTGGTGAGTAGCTATATTGGTGAAGCCGCCCCTCCGCCTTTGGCACGAACTTGCTAAGCCGAAGCCAACTTAGTGCTGCCAGGGGGGAGAGGTGGTGTCACTGCGACCCACAGGTCGCAGAAGCGCAGCCGAGGAAGAAAAGAAGAGTCCAGGGTCGCTGCGGCTCGAGGTTTGGGCGACTTACTCGGCCGGGTGATTCGGTGTTTCGACTCTGCCGTCCATTCTGGGAGTCAAAACGTCTAGTCGCAAGGAAAGGAGCGGCGCGAGGTGGGATCCAATCCACCGTTTTTCTGACTCGCAACGTCTCACAACCAACTTTGAGCCAACATGTCCTAGCAAGTGAACTGTTCAGTTTTTCAGTTTGTTTTTGCAATTTTCACTATATACATAGTTGGGATCATAAAGTGGCCCACAGATGCAGGATCTCTACTATGACTCGCTCCACCGATTTGAGGTTTGTTCGCAGGGAACTGGACGAAGCGCAAGGAGAATCAAGCAGCCAAATGTTGGCTCCAAGCTTTAGAATTGTTATGGCTTGCCTCCGCTGCTCCATGCTGCTTCCTGCCTCCTTTTGGCCTTGCTGGCCGAGAGGAAGGAGCTTGAAACAGCATTTAAAGCTTATGGATCCCGAACATAGCGGTCTCAAAATGGTCAAAAGGATGTTCACTATGGCATAGTGACTCTCTAGATAGGTTGAATTCATTCGGTTTGAAGGCCCCCAGTGAATGGGGGCCACCCTGCACCTGTTTGAGGTTTAGCACCCTTTTGCATCAGGGTATGCCGGAGTGTTTGTTTCCCAAGCTGCCGAGACCTTTCGCCAAAAGTCATGCTGTGACTGTGACACCTTTCGTGACTGTGATGATGTCTATCCTGGAAGATATTTGAAGTTCAGAAATCTCCACACCACCTGGCTTTGTGGCAGGAATTCAAGAAGCATTTCTATGACCGACCTGGCCTACTACCTGGTCTTGTTCATCCACATGTCACCTTGTGGGCAGATGTTCCCCTCTACGGCTTTCATGATGAAGACTTCGACATTGAATTGAGGGCCTTGTCGTACCCACGCCAGGATGCTCGACGTCAAGCGTTTTTTCATTATCCTCAGTACTTCAATTTACATGCTGGCAGTCCTCTCACAGGTGCTAAGAGAAATTGTATGAAATTGTTATCCTCCAAACCCTCCAGAGGTTATTTGGGTGCCTACCTGTTTTATTTTGGTATATTTTGGTTGTATACTCGTAAGTGAGTTCCCATGGGTCACTTGTGAAAGTTTCATCCTGATTGAAGTGAAAGCCTTGGAACCTGGGACAGTGCTTCCGCTAATTCGACAGCATCCACCCAAATCCTACTCAGTGATCAGCACTCAGTGCGCTCAGAACCCTGCACTCAATTTGAACGACGTTATCATCGTTATCCCATGGTAACCCCGCCACTTATTAGATTGCTAATTAAGATTCACAAAAGAGTCTCTTGCGCCCCAAGGACGGCATCATGGTCTCCTGTTGCACCCACGAGGTGCCCAGCCGACCCGGTGGCCCACAGATGTGGCCGCTCGGAGGACGAAGGTAACTCCCCTTGCCCTGGGAGTTGCAACGAGCAGTCGACGGGGTTCTTGGAACAAATGCACGATTTCAAAGGCCAAAATGCAAAATCGTTGGAAAGAGTTGGGTGTTGTCAGGGTCATTTACAACTTGTGCAGGTTCAGACAAGGTCAGATGTTCCCCTCTACGGCTTTCAAGCCGAAGACTTCAGCACATCATAAAGATCTGAAACAGAAATGCAGGCCTTGAGACAGCGCCTCCTCTCAATCTTATCATGAACGCCATTCAGCGATTTGATAGTTAGACTCTACTTGTACCGTTACCTTTTGATCGCATCCCAACTGCATCCGCAAACCACTCAGCCCTCATAATCCCAAGATTCTGTGGCTTAGACTCCTACCTCATTCCATCTCAAACTGTGTTCCGCGGAGGGACCAACAAAGACTCACAGAAGGTGATGTTGTGTCCAAACGAGGACTGCAGTGACCCAGTCTCATAAAGTAGAACACACTCACACTTAAGTTGAACAACATCAGTTTTGCGTTTGGATCTCCATCTCATCCAAATCCCACCAGGTACTCCAGCATGGCATCATGGTTATCACCTGTTGCATCCACGAGGTGCCCGGCCTACGGGGTGATACCCGGTGGCCGCACCGAAAGCTCCAAGACCTGCCCGCTCGGAGAAGAGTCCGCTAGGCCATCCTGGCGATCTCTACGGGGCCGCTCGGCTGAGAGCAGTCGGCGCGATGTTCTTGGAACAGCTCTGGAGGTCAGACTTTTTCCCAGAGGTCATGGCCAAGCAGATGCAAAATCGATGGAACGAGGCGGAGATCACTTTCTTCATGGCTGGGATTTACGACTTGTGCAGGTTCAGCCAGGTCAATCGGAAGTTTGCCAACAGTTCTTAAAACATCAAAAAACAATGAAACGACATTAGTCAGTCCCATTCAGAAGCCGTACATAACTCACTCCTTGACCATACCCACACATGGAACTCATCATCAACACAGAGGACATCGTGGGACTTGCGACAGCTTCCAAGCATTTCCGCGCATCTCCACGAGCCATGGAGACGATGAAGGGATGGATGGCACGAGCGCAGAACCTTCTGAACAAGGATCAGCAATTCATTCTGGGGATGATCTTCACCGCCTGCCTCAATTGGGCCGACTTTTTCTCTGATTGGTACGTCACCTTGCAGTACGGGTGTGTGATAAGACACGACTTGAGCACGAGCTGTGATGGGGTCGATCCACAGGCTGAGTGTGAGGTGCACGGCTGGTGGTTTGGCTTGAGTTTATTCCTATTGATCGGTTCGAACCTTGTCCAGAGTGCAATGTGGACATACATCACAGCAGTTGACGAGTTTGGATGGGTTGAGTCTTGCCTCAAACTCGCAGGAATATGGGTTCTCCTCTTTGTGGCCGGCTTGTGCCAACTCCACTATGTAGTGGACATTGTCCTTGCTCTCCGTGGAGGTGCCCCAACTGACGTCAAGATAGACCGCATTATCGCCCGAGAGTTGGCTACGAAAATCGGGGAGAGCGCCCCGCAGCTTTATCTCCAGTCCTACGTCCTTTTTGCTGTGGGGGCTCATGGCAGCCCCATGAAGATGTTCTCAGTGATCATTTCCATCCTGGCCTTGGCACACGGGATCATCAAGACGCTGCTCATGTTTGAAGATCGTGGAGTTGAGAAGACTTTGCCCCTGAAAGGTTTTGTGTACCGAGCAGTGGCAGCAATTTGGTTGGCCACAGACCAAGGCCTTCGATCGGCCGCCATAGCCTTGGTCCTTTCAGCGGAGGTGAGGCTCCATGGATCGATGCTGCTGGGATTTTTCATGCTTTTGGTTTGGGCCATGTTTGTGTGGACCAATGCGCGAGATCCAGATAGTGAGTTTGCAGTTAAAGGAGGCTGTCCAACAGTAGAAACATTCAGAGATGCGGTAAGGTTATTTGTACTAGGTGTTTGTTTTCTGCTGGTCAGCCTGCTGGGCAGCCTTTTTACCTGCTACGTGATCCCAGTCCTTTGGTTGCATGACCTGTTTGAGTGGTCGAAGCCGGCATTCGATCGAGTTGTTGTCATCCGCTGGGTGGAGATGGCGAGTTGTGCCGCACTAGCCTTGCTGCTTGCTAAGAATGTATGTGGCTACACTCCAGATCGGGAAGTGGGCGGCCTGATTGGCCTCCTGGCCTTCAACATGCTTTGCTATTGCTGCATGAGATGTTGCTTCCACAAGGATGGTAGATTGAAATGGTTGCCCTTTGAAGGTTGGACAGCTGAGGAGGCCAGCAAAGCCGATGTTTCCCGACACAGCAGCAGATCAACACTTGAAGACGATGGCTCCCGCACAATCCAAAGAGTAACACTTAAATCGCTTAAATCATATGAGGATGAAGAGGTTTTGCAGTCGGATGATGCAAACGTCCAAGCAAAGTGCAAAGAAGAGGTTGACAGCTCCAACTTGGACCTTCAAGATGCCAACCTGAAGGTAGACTCACTAGACCACGAAACCCTGCCGGTACAGGATGACACAGAGGGCGTGAATATCGTTTTACCGACTGGAGACATGGCCGAGGAGGCTGAGGGTGAGGCCAACTCCGAGATGAAGGTGTCCAAAGGGAAGAAAAAGGTCGGAAAGACCAAGAAGGTCGAAAAGACCAAAGAAGATGTGCCCAATGTGGCTGAAAGGGCCAGCCCAAGTGGTGAAACCATTGGGAAAGGCCAAGGTGATGAAGAAGCGGCTGAGAAACCACCCACTTCTCCCAAAGGGAAGGTGGCAAAGCCCAAGAGTAGGATGAAGAAAAGCAAGAAGGAGGTGACCCCAACTGCAGATGAGACTGCAATTGGAAGACACCAGGAGGATGGAGATGCGGAAGCAGATTGAACATGCTAAGGTCCGTCTTAGCACTGCCACCTTTAGGGTCAGGTGTTGCTGAATGCTTCAAGTGTGCTTCAAATGGTTTGAGGCCATAACAGGCAGAATCGCTGCAAAAAGCTCGGATTTCTGCTGAATGCTGGCTTTGTGGTTGTGCAGGAAGGCGAGGTGTGGGAAAGAAACTCTTCTATTTTGACAAGCTGGGTTTTATAATGTTCCATATTGACTGTTTGGCCTGTTTGGATGTCCAATTCAGACTGCGACATTTATCAATTAAATAGACTTATTGTTATAATAATGGTTGCTTCTTCCCCATGCTGAACCTTCGACCGTGGTGTCCAGACCTTCTGTTGATGGATGCATGCCCGACTCTCGATCAGAACAACCTAGAGTCTACCTAGAGCCTAGAATTCAGCCTACAGGGAAGATGAGCACCCTGCAGAATGAGACCAAGATGTTTCATTGAGCCCGAATTTGACCCAATCAGAGCAATCCTAAACCAAAGGAACCGGGCAAATTGGCCGAATGAACCGGACGCTGGAATGACCCAGCATGTTTGAAACAGACTCGCATCATCTCGCATCCAAGCCTGGGACTTTGGAAGCTCACTGCGTGGCATTGGAACCGCTTCGTTGTGCCATTGGATCCCTGGCAGCATTTGGTTGCGTGACATGTGTTGTTGCTGTGGAGTTGGGAGGAAGGAGTGACATGTCTCAACATGTCACCAAACCCAGCACTCGCCCCATTGGAGGTGGTTCAAAGGATGGTTTGTTCATGCTCCCCGACCCAAGTTCTTGGGTGAAGTGACGGAGGGCCAGCCAGATTGATGGAAGTAGAGCAGAAGAGACTCAGTTTTGCAGAGGAAAGGACTTCATTCAGCAACCATGTCACACCTGGAGGAATGCATTCCCTCGGACAAAACTCAGAGGCTAAGCGGCTAAGCATTGGTCCTTGGTAAAGGAGTAAGATTGTTTAGTTCAATAGACAACTGTATATATGTAGTTTTGCAAATGGTCCATGTTTCACTCTTGCATCTAATGACTGGTGCTATAGACATGACTGCTGATGGAAGAAACGTGCCTTTCGCCTGCGCTTTGTTTGGTGATTTTGAATCATTGGCTACAACCATAATTGTTTTGACAAGAACATTCAACCAACAGGTGATTCGATTGTTTAAATTTGTTTCATCCCAGCTTTCCGTCAGGCACTTGATCGAGTGGCGTCAGTTCGTAGGAGGTGAGTGAGTGAAGCGACCTTGTGCGGCCTGCCATTGTGTCTCTTTTCTTTGGATTGAGATCTAGAAGGCCAAAAGGTGCTTGGAAGCCGAGGATTGGCAGGTCTCAAGGTGTGAGGGCGGAAGTTTGTACCAGATTTGTCGATTTTATCACCAGCCTGTTGATGATTATTAAGCAGCCCTTCCACCTGGCACCAATTGCTAGCCCAAGCCGGCGGTCTAGTGGGAGTAGTCCAAGTTAAGCAGCGAGGAAGAAAAGAAGAGAATCGGTCGGCTTGGATCTGCGCTGGTTTTGGGCAGGTGGTTTTGCTGCAAGGATTTTCTAGGTCTATAGCTTCAAGCTATCGCAACCAGGCCAAGATTGAACCAACCTGGATTACATTTTAGGGTTGCAGACCGGCAAGTATCTCACAACATGTAACTATAGGTAGACTAGCAAATTGTTTTTCCGTGTTTGATGCATTCTGTGCGCAGAATTTAATCTTTCCGGCAAGCATTGATAGCAGGACATAGACTCACCAATACAATCAGGAAGACAATCTGGAAAAATGCCCTTGGTGCCAGACATTGGTCCGCAGCACGGTCGACCGCAGCTCGGCATCAGTCAGGCCGATAGCTCGGAGACGCATTGCAGCATCTACTTGGGTCAACTGGATGAGCTCTTCCAGCAGATGCTCCATCAGGCGCCTCTTGCTCGGACGGGATTGACAGCTTGGAGGCTGATGTTTTGTTGGGTTGCGAAAGATGGTGAGCTTAAAGTCCGAAACTTGCGCGTATCAGTTTTGAGATGACCTCACATGTGTGGTTTTCCAATCTGTGTTCATTGCACGACATGAACTTGACTGATGAAGTAACACCTGCTGCATGAAACTTGGGAAGTGCAGCCCCTCCTTAGTACCAATTCAGCCCTCCCCCAACCAAAGTCCTGAGACTTGAGTTGGAAAATAGATGCATCAATGTGACTGAGCATGTTTGTTCCTTGCAACTGGTTGAAAGCTGATTTTCCTTTCGTTTCTTAAGGCACACAGCCAGGAGAGCTTGCCAGCTTGAACGGAACCACGTGGGGAAAAGACGGGTCGGTGGGGGCTTTGACTCGGTTGGTCGTGGTGACGAGCTGATGGTGCTTCTCCCAAGCACCTGAGCCGCGGCCTTCAGGCCGCCAGCATTTGCTTCTTGGGCCCGACCGAGCACCACGAGGCCGGATGGGCCGGGCTGGCTGGTGGGACGGCCCAGTGGGCCAGTCCGAAGGTAGCTTAAAGTCATTGCAAGTATCCAGTATCCGCCAGTAAAGCATCAGAATAGGTCAGAATGCATCTATCAGATCATTAACTTTATCTATGTGTTTGTTTTACAGGGGTCATGTAGCTGATGGGGAGGAACCTTTCGAATACCGCGGATAGTTTTAAGTTCAAGATGTGCTTGATCACCAGATGTTTGTAAGCATGTTCCTATGAGCAACGGACGGGCCTATAAGAGTTGTCGAGCTCCTGGCCCAGATACTGCTTCCAACAAGTACCTCATGATGTTCATAGGCATCAAGATGGGCATTCCCCCGGCACCTCTTGGAAGGTCCAGGTGCCACATCTTCATCCTACAGATATTGGAAAGCACCCCGACGCCCGCTGGTTTGTGCTGTTTGTAGCAGGAAATGACGGCCTCCCACACGGAGTTTTCCCTGGAGTTCTTGGTGAAGCAGAGGCGCTCGATCCAAGGTCATAGCGGCCGGAAGCTCAGGATGGCCGGGGGATGGGTAGGTGAAGAGAGGTGAGCAAGGCATGGCTACTGATTACTGCCAATATAGAGGTTCCAAGACAGGTCCATGTTCTTAATCTCTACCAAGCACAAGACTAGACAGATTAATGCCACATTTCTTGGGTTCCTTTGTTGCAATCCCCCCATTATACATTGTTTTGAAAAAGATATATATATATATGTATTCAACCATATTGTTTATGGAATATCAATTCATTTGAACATCCATGGACTTGGACCTTGCCTTTTTGAAGACAGACCCCCGGCCCAAGCCCAGTCTCCATGGACCCTTCGCACTCCTTGAGTCCCCCCTTTCTGAGGCGAGGTCTTTTGGAGCACCGACTGGGGTCGCTTGTTGGACGCCGCGCTGCGACAGGGCGACCCGGAGCGCTTCCAGCCCTTAGGCCGGTCCGGGCGCAGTCCGGAAACACGCATCAGTGCATTTGGCCAAGAGGTATTTGTCCGTGCCCTGTTCTCAAACTAAGAGGCTCAAGGGAGGTCAACCTCCACTAACTATGTAGACACTGGTTCGATGAGCCCAGAAATCTATAGCAGTTGTTGACCTCCAAATGCCAGCTCCTAGATTTGTCCTTCCCCAAGTATCCCAAGTCGAAGGAGCCTGGGTGATCTTCTACCAGGAGAAGGGAACCACTTGTGGCTGGGCTGCAGCGGAGCGGCGAGCTGAGAGGCCAGATGAGCACAAAAAACGGACCTGTGGTTGTGCATGGGGCCTTGCGGGAATCGTTTGGGTGGACATCATCCCGTACATCAAGACAATGGCCACCACTGTGTGAACTCTGATTGTTGGGGAGGGTAAGGGATGAATGGGGATGATATCCTTGACCGTGTGCGAAAGGTTGTGGCCGTTGTCAGATGGCCTTTAAATTGCGGAATACTTTGGATAATAATTAATGTTCACGAGAGGTCATGCATTGTTTTGTGGCGATGAGTTTCTGCTCCCGTGGCTGCACAGTGAGTTTTGTCCTCGTTGATGCATTCATTGTGGTTTGCACATCCTCAGGTGGGGCAGTGTGAGCCAAATGGACCTTGAAATCACCTTTGAAAATGCCAACCTTACTAACTTCAGCGATCCTAGACATTGGCTTGGTGCCAGGGTGCCTTGCAGAATGCTCTACCACGGTGGTCAACAGTAGCCGCACTTGGGTGCAAGGACTTGGCGCTTTTGGTGCCAGCGCCCATCGACCAAGGCAAGATGTGCAGATACTACTCCCAGCCAGGGGCCTTGGCCTAGCTCCTATAGGGCCAGGGCATTGTTTCCTGATTCGTTTTCTCTCCAGGAGGTAGGAACGTGCCATTCTCCGCTTGAGTGTATCTAAGCTCGCTCCCACCATGATGCAGATACTGGGCTGTCCCCCCAAACCAGGAACGCTGCTGAACAGCAAGCCCAGTGCATCGCTGTTCAGGACATGCCTCAGTGGTGGCGGATGGTGAATCTGTGGGCCACTGCTGTCCGGTCTAGCAGGCACCATGTTCTATGCACAGAAGGGCGTATTGACAGCATGTTCTGTGGATTGTAGAGCTGAACACCGCACCAACCTGATTCTCGAATTGCATTGAAACGTGTTCTGGGTTGCTTGTCAGGTTCCATGTTTGTCCTCGCGGAACTAGTTCAACAATAATGTCCACAGATCACCCCACCTACCAGCTGTCACGAAGTTGTGCCTATTGGAGGATAGAGGTCCCCATTATCCACTCACTTAGGGACCAAAAATCACCCCTTTGTGACTCTTGGCATGATCCACCAGTATATTGAGCACTCGATCAGCAAGCGCGCGAGCCATAGAAACAAACAACTACAAGATGCGTTCTGCATGGTTCTAAAAGACCTTCACAGCTGCCAAGTTCCTTCTGTTCGACCTTTCCGGTGACCTGCTACTGTCAACAGTATGACTCTTATTCACACCTACAACCAGGCCCCACCACCCACCTAACCAGTGGCCTCCTGTTGCAGGCCATTCCACCAGGTCCGTCCGCCCAGGCAATCGGCCGAAACGCGGCTGCGGCAGATTGCCAAGCCAGCCATCCTGCTGGGTCCGGCTCCAGCGCCTCGGAGTCCTACTGGTCGGAGGGCAGCAGATGCAGAAGTCTGGGAGTCCTCGGCTTTTGGGGAAGAGGAATGTCAAAAGACCCGCTGTTGATCCCCAAACCCTGCGGATTCGGTGCGTGAGGGTAAAGCACTTCACTACCCAATCCCATTACATCGAACAGGATCGAACGTGATCAAACAGTTGCGAAAAGGTTTC